TCAAAAGAAGCGAGTCGCTGGAATGAATCAAACACCATGCTCTCCTCAATGACGTAGGTTTAGAGCCAAAACAGAGCCACTTCTGTTGCGGACACAAATCTGTGACCTCAGACAGCAAGCTGCCGTGACCCTTGCTGCCGTTATCACGGATTGGATCGTTTAGTACAGCGAATAAGCGACCGTACAAATAACGAAGTAACGAATAACGCGTCTGTCACCTACTTATCACCTGTCTCCAGCTCCACCCATTCTATAGGTAGCCTAATCATCGCGAGATTTCACTGACGGGGTTCGGTCAGAATCTCGTGTCGGCGGAGAAAGTGAAGTTTTGATGTGGAAAACCAAAACGAATGTGATCGACGCCCTTTAAGCAGGTAAGTTGTGTGTGTTCAGTGTGTTTATAAACATTATTTGATATATGTGTTAAGAAAAAAAAAACGAAAGTTAACGTAAATGTTCTTGCTGAAGTCAACTGAAACAGGAGACAAGTGAAACGCATTTACCGATACTGAGGAGCAGGTTGCTTTGTGTCAAAGGAAGGCAGAGAGAAGCCTTTAGTTAGAAGAACGGTTGTGATTATGATGGTTTGCATTTACAGTCTACCTTACTGAATGATGTTTACTGTATTGTTAATGATAAACAATAAAATAGAGATACTTTTAAAAACAAAGAGTCCACCGACCCCTGGATGTTACGAGTCACAGATGTTACAGAGAAATCAAACTTATAGGCTATAAAAACGTATATAATTAATATATACATAAAAACGTATGCATGTTAATAAAAAGTATTACATCGTTTTTATATTGGGGTCTCTGGGTTACCTCTAGGGTCCCTGTAAAATTTCAAAACCTCTGGTATATAAGCACATAACACCAAAGCTTCTTTCCCTCATGAAGCTATGAGCCAACCGTCCAGAAACCATCGTCCGCAGAGAGAGAGAAACGGGGGACCCTATAGTGAGAGGCGAGACAGAGAGCCCCGCAGCCGACGGGACAGTCCCAGTGACCGACGATCAGCCAGTGAGGGGTGAGACGTCATACTACATGTTCATACACATTAAACAAAGAGGAAATCTTTGCTTTGAAGGCTATGCTTTGCATATTGTGTGTTATTACAAATTATTGTAATATTGTTATTTTAAATCTTTTATAACTGTATCTGACCTAGTTCATCTGGCCAGCCCCCGTACTACCCCAGAGGTTCTCAGAGACATGTGAGGAGCGATCCTCGAGAGGAGCGCCGGGAGTCAAAGTGCTCTTACATCTGTTCCAGGAGAGGTAGGCA